AAGCTGAACACCTTCCATATGCGTTGTCTCCGACGCATTTTTGGTATCACCTGGCAGGACAAAGTTCCAAATAGAGTAGTCCTAGAACGAGCTGGAATTTTCAGCATGTATACAATATTGAAACAGCGCCGTCTACGTTGGCTTGGGCACGTCATGAGAATGGCTGATGGTCAGATTCCAAAAGATCTCCTGTATGGAGAATTAGTGCAGGGAAGCCGCCCCCGAGGGAGACCACAGCTGCGTTACAAGGACATCTGCAAGCGGGATCTGAAGGCCTTAGGAATGGACCTCAACAGATGGGAAACCTTGACGTCTGAGCGTTCAGCCTGGAGGCAGGCGGTGCATCATGGCCTCTCCCAATTTGAAGAGACACTTGTACAGCAGACCGAGGCAAAGAGGCAGTCCCAAAACAAGCAAAACCAGGGAGCTGGACAGGGGACTGACTGGATTTGTCTCCAGTGTGGAAGGGATTGTCACTCTCGAATTGGCCTTCTCAGCCACACAAGACACTGTTCCAAGACCTCCATACAGAGCACGATACCATAGTCTCTCGAGACTGAAGGATGCCTACAATGATTCTTGCCACCTCTTCTTGATGTCTTCTGCTTCTGTAAGGTCCCTACCATTTTTGTCCTTTATCATGTCCATCTTCGCACAAAATGTTCCTTTATTATCTCCAATTTTCTTGAACAGATCTCTGTTTTTTTCTTTTCTATTATTTTCCTCTATTTCTTTGCACTGTTCATTTAAGAAGATCCTCTTGTCTCTCATTACTATTCTTTTAACATACTGCATTCTAAATACCTATGTTCCCCTCACAGGCCCCTCCGCCTGGAACTATCAGAGCTGATCTTCCCCACGGTATGTTTCATACTTTCTGTAGTTATGAAGGAAGTGCAGAAACTGCAAGATGAATAAATAAAATATTTGAAATCCACCAGGATGAAAAGTAAATCTCTACCCACTCATCCTATTTTGGTGAGCATGAGCTGGCAGTTCTTGGAAAGTGGCTGATGATTTGGACTCTCTTATGATCGCTCTCCATTGTTACTGGTCAATCCACATTTGCTCTTGGACTCTAGAAAAAAGATTTTTTTTTTTCCTCTTGGCCATAATAGGTTATGAAGATAACATCTACCATTTGAGGAGATTATAGGGATTACTTTGTTTTAATATTCTACAAATCCCTGAGAATCTCAGAAAGGATTCAGAGAGAAGCACTGTGCTCCAGAGCAGGTCTTCAGCTGAAATCAGCTTATAATTATCTGGGGAGATTTCCTTGAATGTCTGACAAAACATCAATTTGTTTCCGAGGACTCAGTTTTGATAAAGAGCTGGCAAGTTTTAACTGTCTGTAAATCACTGCATAGGGACCTGCCCCAACCTTTCATGCTGTCTGAATTTCTAGAAGTTTTTAAAAGGTTTCTTGTTTTTCCCCAAAGCAGCTTCAAAGTTTTGGTAGAAATGCAAACTAGCAGAAAAGAAAGTGGGTTTTCTCTTTCAGTCAAAGTCCTGTCAAATAAATTGGAAATAAGTGGCCACAGTGCTATCAAATGCAATTTACATGGAAGTGGAAGTTTTGAAGGAAGTCCAACACAGATGTATTTGATTGAAAGACAAGGATGGGGAAAGGATCTCAAAAGAAAAGTTAGGAAGGCTAAATCTTTCCGGAAAGCTCAAAATTACTTCAACTGACAACAGAATATAAATTGAACTAGAATGTATACCATGAGATAGGAAAGGTATTCCAGGATTTAGCTAGTCATCAGCATAGTTAGGAACTAGTATCTTCTGAACATGAAAACTTTGTCCAAATGAGGAGAATAAAAAGAAAACACAATCTTGAACATACAAATAATGCACACAGACAATAAAGGATGCAAAAAGGAGGTAAAGGTTCCCCTTGATAATTTGTCCAGTCATGTCTGACTCTAGGGGGTGGTGCTCATCTCTGTTTCCAACCCACAGAGATTACATTTTGCCCAAAGACAATCTTCCGTGGTCATGTGGCCAGCGCGACTAGACATGGAATGCTGTTACCTTCCCACTGTAGTGGTACCTACTTATCTACTCGGATTTTGGCATTTTGCATGATTATGAACCGCTAGATTGGTGGGAGCTGGGACAAGCATGCTGCTTATATACTGCTTCAAGCACTCTCTGGGCGGTTTACAAGTTAATTATGCAGGCTACACACTGCCTCCCCCACGTGCCTGGTATTCATTTTACCGACTTCAGAAGGATAGAAGGCTGAGTCAACCATGAGCTGGTTACCTGGGATTGAACTGGGGTTGTGAGCACAGTTTTAGCTGCACTACAGCAGTATAACCACTGGGCCACAAGGCTCTGACATAATTTTAAAAGTCTTTAACACAAGAAACTAGCTAGAGAGACAGCTGGACTGTTCAAATATAAGAAACAGGTAAAACAAGAAGACAGGAGAAGAACTGAACATTCATGTTTGTTTTCACTGCAAAACATACAGTACAGTACTGATACTCCTGTCTGAACTTATCATTTCAAGAAGGAAGCCTGAGTAAGTGAAACAAATAGAGGTTCTTGACCCTACTGAAATACTGAAAACAAACAAATCAATGTCCAGATGGCATCCAGCCAAAAGAACTCAAATGGGAAATTGCTGGTCCTCTATCCAAAGTATGTTAACATGTTTGTATGATTGGCTGTTTTCCCAGAGAACTAGAAAGTAGCCAATGTAATGGCAGTTTTTAAAAAGGATCCAGGAAATTACAGGCAATTCAGTTTAACATTTGTTCCATGTAAACTGCAGAAACAGTTATCAAAGGTAAAAATTTCAAGCATATAGAAGAAAAGTCTTACTGGAGAAGAAGTAATGTGTCTCCTTGCAAGGCCCTTCAGGGTTTTAATAGTGTGTCAATAACTACGTGGATGGTAGACGTTGCTTGCTTGGCTGTTCAAAAGGCTTTAAAGCAAACAGCAGTTATAGGATAAAAGAAGACACTTGTCTCATAGATGTTCAACTGATTCAAGACAGCAGCGTAAACGTGCAATGAACAGCATGTTCTCCCTAAGAATGGTATTGTGACTTGCATATTTTACCTCATTCATAAATCATCTGGAGTTTTAGGAGTGGCAAAATAGCCGAGTTTGTTGATGACATCAAATTATTTAGAACAAAAAAGGACAGTAAAGAGCGGCAAAACTCTTCAAAGTTGGGGAATAGTCATTAAAATGACCAATGCAGCTCAGTGTAAGGAAGGATAAAAATGAGGCACCTTCGGGCAAAAATTCCTAACTTCATGCTATCTCAGCTGGTGGTGACTGAGCAGGGAGAATCTCCTAGGGTTGTGTCAGACAGCTCAGTTAAAATATGTGGCTGCCGAGAAAAAGACAACATCCACTCAGAAAAGAATAAAATAAATAAATAAAACTGCCAGTGTCATAACGCCTTTGTATAACTCTTGTGGCGAGACCACACTTAGAATACGGTGTACAGTTCTGGTTACTGTACCCTGAAAAGAATACTGCACATCTGGAAAAGCTGCACAGAAGGGTGGCTGATCAAGGGAGTGCAGCGACTCCTATTTGTCAGGTGACGTCTTTACTGAAAATATTTCTCTCAACTCATTTAAATAGGGAGTGCAGCGACTCCTATTTGTCAGGTAACGTCTTTACTGAAAACCTAAAAAAATTTTCTCAACTCATTTAAACAGGAATGGGCGATGATGACAACGATGAAGGTCATATGCTATCAAGTGATCTGATTTCATGGGGACCCTCCCAGAGCTGTGCTTGTACAAAATACCTCAGAAGTGATTTACTGTTCCCTCCATCTGGTGACTTGCCCAAGGTCACACAGGTGGCCAGTTATATAACACTATCAGCCACATATGCTCTGAGTGATCTCCTGAGAGGCAAAGTGTGGATTCAATCTCCACAGCCAGGTGCTCTAACTGACTGAGCTCTCTCTCTCTCTCTCTTTCTCTAAGACAGCTGTGATATTTTAGCCACTAAGACCTCTCTCTCTCCCCGTTTTTTACCAGCCAGAATGCTATTACTTACTGTATGCCCCACTGGTGTTAAGTCCTTTGGCGTAAATGCTATTGGCAAATTACTGATATGAGAACTCAGCATTTGCATTTGGCGTGATGACACCTGCAGCGTGATAACAAATGCAAGAGACATCTCAACTAGTGGCAATTTGCTGGTTTAATTTTTCAACTGGATTCCAACCGTTATTACATTACTATTAACTATCTGGAGATGTGCTCACTGAAGCTCCAGTCTTACCTGCTATTGCTTCAATGCTTGGGATTGTGATAGTACTGTAAGCACTAACACATTTACATGACCATGTATTTACTAAGATTTCCTCTGCACCGTCCTTTCCTAAAATGGTATCCATAAAGAAAGAACCCCACTGTTTAGAGACGGAATGAAGAGCTTTTGGATGGTGTCCCTGAAACATAAACAGGTAGGAACATAAATAAAGGTGCTCAAATACATGCACAGAATTTCTGTATGAATGGGATAAAGGTATCTTCACACACACATACAATGAGAACTGTTTCAGAATTAGAATACCTAAGTAGAGAAGGCCTTGAGTTCTGCTATGCATTGGCAACATACGATAGTTTCAAATTCTACTGCTCCCAATGGAGCCAAATGGGTTGCGATGCAATGAATTTATGAATAGTAACCAGGATAATTTGGAGATATTCTTATAACATACAAGAAAATAATCTAATCTGTGTTGCTTACTTTTGCTTTCACTGTGCCCGCAAGGTAATTTGTAATCTGCTTAATTCCAACAAATATTCCACTCTGGGAATGTGAGTAGCTAGTAGCAGGGAGAGTGTCATAAGAACTGTACTGGGTCTGAAAACCTGCAGCAGATTTTTACACCTCTATAGGCATATTCAAATAAAATGCTTATGGGCATAACTTCACATCTACCCATTCCTTCTCCACAGAAACCTTCTGTTCCTTTGTGCTGAGGAAGTACTTCAAACTCTAACTTTTCCCCCTAGAAGAGAGCTAAGAAGCACAGAAAGCTGCCTTACACTAAATCACACAATTGGTGCATCCAGCTCAGTACCTCTGACACTGTCTGGTAGCAGTTCTCTATAGGTTTAGACATACATTTTCCCCAAAACTACCTGGGGGATGCTGGGGACCAAACCAGATATTTTTTATCTACAAGGCATGCAGTCTATCACTAAACTACAATCTCTTCCCCACTCGTAAGAACCTCAACATACTTAAAACAGGTTCATTCATGAGTATACTGGAGCGTCTGTACAGCAGTTCATGTGTTTTCCTATTTCTTGCCTAATTCAGCCTAAGCATATCTGAGAGAAATATGCTTTAATAATAATAATAATAATAATTTATTGTCATTGTAAGTATATACACAGTATACCCATACAATGAAATTCACCTTTAAAATTAAATGCTAATATATAGAATCTGATTGACTCTAGATCACGATGAGAATCCAGAGAAAATTATAGTTTGGGATGCCGATTACTGTAAGCTTAATGTACATTACAGAAGATCTTAATGTTATATCATACTACATTTTCAGCAACGTGGGCGACACTGTTAATTAGATTTGACGACAGTTGACATTCATGCACACTGACTTTTTTTTGCTATCCTTCCCTCACTTTTAATCTTGTAAGATTAAAAAGTGAGGTTAATTGGGATTATTTTAAAATAACGTAAAACTTTTTGTTGGGTTTAGAAGGAAATTCCTTTGACACAGTCGTGCTAATTGGTTTATTCAGCTGCAGTGCTATGGCTGTATATGCTCTTCTGCTGTGAACAGGAGCATAAAGAACATACACCCCGACCTACCATAACCCCACTCAGTACAGAATCCTTTGATCAACCCAATTGACTTCTCCTCTGCTTGCTTGCTGTCACTGGTGGAAGAAACAGTAATTCAACACAAATATTTTGCAGAAATGCAGATTGTGCCTGGTGGAGCTGAAGTTCTTCAAATACAAATGGGGGCAGTTCCAGAAAGAAATCAGAATGTAAAGTCCAGGAAGTGCTGGGTCTCATAGCAAATTCCAAACATTACCACTGTTTCTTGGGCTGCTGCAACAACTGCCACCAAGACTAAAGGTGGAAAGAGAGGAAAAGGCCTACACTTTGTAGGTGGCAGTTGTTATTCATTGTCCTTCCTCTTCCAAAAAATAAAAATGTACATACAGGAGTTATAAAATCAATTCATTGATGTACACCAAGAACCCTTCCACGTGCATAGTAAAGGTGTGGTTGTCTTCTTTGCTGTTTGAAATGCACAGGAAGGAAACCACCATTTTTATCTTGTCTTCTGACTTCGATGCAATATTTTGGACATCAAGCAAAACAGAAAATAAAAAGTTATTTAAAATGATAGAAGAGGCAAATATTGCCTCTTTTCCTTTGAATTAATCACTGGCCTTCATAGGCTTTTGTTTTTTTATTTTACTCCTCTATAAGAAGTAGTTAATTGTTCCTAATTAACAGACTAAGAATTTTATAGATGAAATTGATAGTGATATACCTTATGTAATTGGTAAAATTAATGGAAGAGTATAGACAGGAATAAAGTTTGCTAGGCCCAGGTGGGCCACATAAATTCTTATCTTAATTGTCTTAAAACAAGCTAGCCTCTTGTATCATGTCAATACCTTCACTGTGTCATTTTAAAAACTTCGGAGTTTTACTGTGAGAAAATGAAAGCATATTTAGGGCATTAGCACTCATTTGTTTCCACTGGCAGTAGCAAGACCACATTCCATATCTCAAAGGGATAAAAAGGGTTCACAAAAACATTATTTTGCTACACATACTTTAGAGGATACAGAAAATTAACAGTGGCAACTTCCTGGCAACTCATCAGAAAACTGCTATGTACATGTTCTGTTCAAATGAACCAGAATTCCTCTGACTACAATTCAAGTAGCCGTTGCATATTGTTCTAACAAGGTTTTTGTAAGAAACCTTCTAGGCAGATTGTGTCTCTACTGGGAACACACTGTAGTGAAGCTGAATGTTATAGCTATAGATGTAATATATGGCAGAATAATATGGGAGGAGATAGTTTTCACTTATTGATTGCAGTTGCCCAAATATACTCTTCTATGATGTGAGAACACAGATGTTTTGATGGAGCTGAACAGACACATCAGTTAATGTATCGGGAACTATGTGTGCAAATCTGATGCACATCCAAATGCACATGAAAACACATGGGCACTATGCTTCATGGTTCCTCTGCATAACATTCTTTTAAGTGAGATGTGTACATATGAAAATATACAGCTCTCTACATTCTGGCACAACTAGCAGCACATAAATACCCTTCCTAATGCAATTAGAGGTGGAGTGCGTTGAAAATGTCAATCTTGTTCCAAAAATTTATATACATATTCGCATGTTTCAATCAGAAATGTATGACATCATCCACATACTGTAGGTGGACCGGAGGTTACATCAGGCCTGGCCATTTAGTTGCTTTACCTCATATTTTCCTTTCTTCTCCAATGGCTCACATGCTGTTTCTGAAGGCATCAAACCAGGGTCGCCATTAAGCTCCTCTAAGATGAGGACAGTTTCCCAGTTACTATAGTGATAGGCTGGGAAAATATCTGAATGCATGCTGTCACCAAAGTAAACAACCTGAAAGTAAAACAGCAAGATTCCATATATTAAAAAGTATGTGTATCCTTATTAGGGTATTCAAATTTCCGATGATGACAATTATATTATAATATATAAGTTATATAATGTAGCCTATTTTATTTATAAAATCGTCATCATGCACGCCACCTACTTTATCCAGCCCTGCTGCTTTCCAAGCATTCAGGAATCAGCAGCATGCTGTTATGTGTATAGCCTCTCAGTGAAATTCAGAAGCCAGAATGATCACGGGTCTAAGTTGCACAGTGGGGATGTGTAACAAGGAAGCAACCGGTGAATATAGTCTCACTTCATGTGATTCTACCCAATCTGAGCTCTCGGATTTTAGTAATCTTATGGTAATTATAATAGAGTAGAATCAGACTAGTAAAAGAGATTGTATTTATTATATTTGTCCCTCTCCTTCTTTCATTCCTTCCCACCCCAAAGTCAGAAGAACCAAGGAAATTTTTGTTGGGATTCCTGGCACATTAAACAGAAAGAAACTAGAAGTGAAGAAATGAGGCTTACAGCTGAAACTCTGCCAGAAAAACAAGATCTTACTGATCTTAGTAAAGTATTGCTGTGCACTTGGGCAAATGGGTGATGCCCTTGACTGTATAGACAGAATAATTAATTTATTCTCCTATATGCCAAAGGGAAAATAGAAACTTAATGACAAACATTGTCATTTGTCCTACTGTTTTTGAAACTAGATATATATTTTGAAAAAGCTTGTGCTAACAGAAGCATGTAACAGCTATGCTGGGTTAGGCCACAAGCCTGTCTAGTCTAGCATTCCAGTTCCACAGTGGCCATCCCGTTGCAGCCCTAGGGAAGCCCAAGAGCAAGACATGAATGCAGGAGCACCCTTCTCCTTGAGTTCCCTGACAACTGATAGACAGAAGGCTATTGCCTCTGGTATTATAAGTAAAATACAGTGGGCCCTCGACTTATGAACGGCTCTAGTTGCGAATGTTTCGGGTTACGAACCCGATCTCATAGGAAATTATAGACCCTATTTGTGAACGTGGAATTGAGTTACGAACCAAAAAAAAAAACAACGGAAAAAAAGGAAAAAGAAAAATTTCTGCCCCTAGTGATGGGAACGGATTAAGCAGCGTTGGATTAGTTCCTATGGGAACTAATGAATCGACTTGTGAACCACCCCTCGACTTAAGAACCAAAAACAGCCGGAACGGATTAAATGGTTTTCAGTGCATTCCTATGGGAAATGCTGATTCGAGTTACAAGTTTTTCGGGTTACGAATAGACTTCTGGAACGGATTAAGTTCGTAAATTGAGGGCCCACTGTATAGCCATCAAGACTTGTAGTCATTGTTAGCCTTGAATTCATTGTACCCCCTTTAAAGCCAAAGTTGGTGGACATCACATAACATTTTACAGCAGAAAATCCCACCGGTTTATGTAGGTGATATTAGAAAGAACCATTCCTTTTATCAGTCTTGAATCTCCCACTACTGAAGTCTGGTGTGACCCAGCTTCAAGAGAAAAGAAGAAAAGCATCTCCGTATCAGAATTAATTTTATATTCTTTTATTATGATTCCACTGACTTGTCTTTTTTCAAAGTTAGAAAAGCCCAAAATGTTCCATGTATCCTTCACAAGGAACCAGAGATGTAAACCTTTGTTTGTTTCTTCCAGGCAAGCTAGGCTGAGAAATTAAAAATTTTTTCTCCCTCACCTTGAGTAAGGAGAGATTTCTTCAAATGTTAATCAACTGGCCAACACAAAGGAGCATAATTCATGCAAATTGTGTGATTCGTAAAAATTGTGCAAAACTGCTACTCTGTTGTTGATTTTTAAAAATATGAAATGTCAGAAGGGGTACTGGCAATTTAAAGACAACAACAGCTAGTCCTTTTATGCTTGCTGTATGTATGCTTTTTGTTCCATAAAAATGGCACTAGTTTAATACAAGCAAAGAAAATTTTCCTTGTTTCATTCTTGCTTCGTATTTTAGAAGCCTTCGAAAATGTAGGAGAGAACTATGAGGTGATGGAGTAGGACTTAGTAGAGGATCCCTCATACAGTTAATTTGAAATGAGCATTCTTTTATAACTAAACTCGATCTGTCAAGTGACTGAAGATAACTCAAGGCTGAAAGCTGATGTATATGGACCTGAAAATATGCTTCACTGGATAAACATTGGATTTATTTCCAACTAAAAATGACTAGGATTGGACTGCATATTCATAGAACTGCATGCTTTTCTTGTATAAAGCAAACTGCTAAAAAAAAATAATGATCAAAATCCTGTTGTGTCATTACACTGGCACAAGGGAAAGGGTGTAACCTGCAGACAAATTGCCACTAATTAATTGTTACTCGGATTCTGGCCTGCATGCTGGCATCCTGATACAGTAGACATGAGACCATAATTCAAGGAGAAGCTTCTCAATTAGTGACAATTTTCTGCTCTCAGTTATGCCAATTCCCTTCCATCAGTCTAGACAGCAGAATTGCCCTATGTCAAATAGGTTACTTATCTACATTTTTCATGAGCCAGTTCATATATACATAATTGTTACCAATGTTGTATATTACTGAGTTTGCATCCTTTGAAAAATTAGGTGCTAAGATGTTGAAGTCTTGCTGAGGCTGAGAAAGAATATCTATGAGCATCTGCTATTGCATCTTCTTTTTTCTAAGTACCTTTGGTTCTAGTTTGCCAGTCATCTTCTTCAGCAACTCATACAAATGGGTTGAGTTACCTTGGGAGTACCACCCGGGTTTGTCCAGGGCTAGGAGGGCCTCTTGTTCTTCATCGTTCTCTGAAACAGGAAGGCATATTTTTGTATTTTGGTGAAGACAAAAAGAAGCCAAGAAGCTAGACCAAGTGATAAAAAGATAAGATGAACATATGTCGCTCTCAGAATGTTTCTGAATGTCATCTATATAATTTTTTAAACATTGCTGTTTGCCTAGTTGTCTGCTTTTTTCTTTGCAATCACCAGGAATCTCAGCAACTTATTTTTGAAAACTCTCAAGAAAGTTTTGTAAATTAATGGTTCTTCAACAGATGGTCCTTCCAATATTTTGTATTTCATTTCTTATAATCCCCAGCCAAAATGACCAGTGGTCAGGAAACTGAAGTCCAAAAACATTGGGAGCAGCTGAGGCTAGGAAGCGCTGTATCAAAAGACAAACATTGTCCCAGTCTGTTTGCACAATCTGCCTTGAAGAGATATTTAAACAACTTTTGTCAGCGTATTCTTTCTTTCTTCTTAGAAAATGCCATCCTACAAATATCACTATATGATGCATACTGCAGAGTTCAGAAGTCAGGTTATTTAATGAAAAATAATGAATGATATAATTTTTTTGTACAAAAGATGAGCCCTGAGTGGTGAGTTTTGGATTCATTAATATCCCTTCTCCCTAGAGCCATGTGACATGTTAGTAGTACATGAAGAGAAAGATGCCACTCCCCATTTTTAGCAGGATTGGAACTACAGTCAGCACAGAGGAAGAGAAAGGCCGTGTGTCTCTTAGGAAGTCCATGCCAAGTTAAATCAAAGCAAAGGCAACTGCTGGGAAGGAAATGACTGAAAAAGATCCAGGAACCAGGATAAAAGGTAGTACATAATATGCAAAAAGGGCAGATAGACAGATAAAGAGGAGGACAGACTGGGAAGGGAGCCAGGAATGCTAGGCAGTCTAGCAGACAGAAATGGTCTTATAGAGACTTCTGAACCTAGAGTTTCAGTTTTAATCAGACACCAAAGAACCTAAAAAGCTGCTTGAAGAGAAAGAATGGGCTAACTACAACAGTAAGGCCTGAATTCATCTGCTGCCCCTACCCAGAACAAATCCACTGAATCCGCCGTTCAAGGCACTTGCATAAATGCTTCTGACTGAGTGAATCTGCTCTCATTGGGATTTTCAGTTAGACCCAGGCCTATGAAAAATTATCTTTCCACAATGCATCTTCAAACAGATCACCCCCCAATCTCATCATCAGTGAGTCCTGCAGCATTTGCCTCATTGTGACACAGTGATATCAGATCAAGGGAGTCATGTGAAATTAAATGAATGATTAGCTCCAGATACTCGGCACAGTTTATGCTCATGGGTGAGACCAGAAAAAAAAATTAAGTGGCTCCTAAGACATGCGTTAAGCAGTCGGTCCTGAAAGGGCCCTGTCAGTTGCTGAACCCTGCCAAATGCTGACAACTGTCCCTGACCAGCATAAAAGAGGACCATTATACAGACATATCTGAACTTCGTCCCAGCTCATCTTAATGAATAGATCACCAAACCACTTTAATGGTTATCCCTGTGTGATCCTGCTTACCATCCAATTATAAGAAAAGTCACTTTGTGGAATATTAAGGAAAAAGAAAATGAGAACCATTTTAGGGACATTTTGTTTTTCATAAAATATTTGTTTGCCTGGCAACATATACCCTTACCCTTGAGTTGCAGCCTTCCTATGGTTTGTACTTACATGAAATGATAACTTATATGAAAACAGTGACAACTCTCCTAAGACATTTATATAGCAAAACCTGAAAGGTGTGAAGCCCAGAAGGCCAAAGAACTAACTACAGTGGGGTCTTGACTTGAGAACTTAATCCGTATTGGAAGGCGGTTCTCAAGTCAAAAAGTCTGTAAGTCAAGTCTCCATTGACCTACAGTGCATTGAAAATGGATTAATCCCGTAACAGGCCATTTTTGTTCCATTTAGGTTTTTTTCTGGTCTGTAAGTCAAATCTCAGTCTGCAAGTCAAACCTAAATTTTGCGGCCAGAGAAGTCTGTAACTCAAAAAGTCTGTAAGTCAAGCCGTCTGTAAGTCAAGGGTCCACTGTAGTTCATCAGACATCCATTTTTTGATGGTGGCGGTGTGCCTAGTGAGAGATCAGTCTTCACAGTTGATAACAGCCTGAGAGTACCCTGCATAATCTCATTTGTAAACTACTTCCTATACTTCTTCCATACTGCTGAAATTAAATCACAAATGACAGACCCCAAGCAGGAAACTATGAAGAAAGAAAACAGAAAGCGAATAGAAAATAAAATGAATGAACATGAGATTCATGCTGCAACTCTTTACACACTGCCCTGGTCTTAATACGATGGAACACTCGGAAAAAGATTTACTTTCAAGTAGACATGATTAAAGTTGCACAGTCCAATCCTTGTCCTCTCATAGAAGCCATTCCCCCAAGGCTACCGCTGGGTGACTTTCCTCCCTGACTGCCATTCACTAATGATCTCACAATCCATGCACGTTTATCAGGTAGTGTCTATGTGAAGAACAAATACTATAGTATTCTTCTTGTTCCCTTGAAGGACTTGCCAAGTCACAGACAGATGGTCTGCGTTTATTTATGCTCTCACAAGTGCAGCCAGAAGTGGCCTCAACTAAGAATTAATTTACAGTAGCATTTTTTTTAAATTAAAAGGGATGACTTCTAGACAAAACAGCTATTTATTAGGGATGCTCTATGCACTGGATAAAAAGAAGAAACCCAAAGTTAAAAAAAAAAACACAACCCCAGACCCTCTAATCCTTCATTCATGAAGAAATGCTGTTTCCTTTTCCTGCTTTTTTTCCATTAAGCATAACAATCAATATTGTGGACAAAGTAAAGACCTGTTATTTTTAACATCATTTCCTGATTTTGTCTTGAAATAAGATGAAGACACAAAACATTATCTTCCTTTGTCCTGTAATTATTTTCCTATTCTAAAACATTTTGTTGTTGCATATTTTGGAAACACTCTAATAAGAAATATATTCAGCTTTCTTTTAAAATGACTCATTTCAGAAGATCAGAACAAACATATTTCAGATGTATGGCATGTTATGAAAACATTAAGTTATTTTAAAGACATTTTTCAGAGTTCAGACAGTAGTTTCATAGAAGTACTGTGGACATTATTCATCACTCACCTTATGGAGCTCTCCTTTTATCCTCAAGTGTTCCAGACATGGGAAATACATGCAGGTATCCCTGCAGTAAAGGAGTGCTAGTAGATCTTAATAAGGAGGTACATACTGGCCTTACCTACAAGACAAAGAGCCAGTATAGGATATGTGCACAGGGGATGATAGTGACCATGGGAGGAGTGTGATGTGTTTCATAGAGCCCTGTGGGATTGCTTTGGATGCACTCAGCTGGAAAATGCTGCATATTTGGGCAGAAACTATACATCATTTTAGAAAATGACATTCCAGTGCAATGAAAACAATATTGACAGATTTGTAACTCATCAGCATTGTTTTAATTCCACTGGACTTATTGAGCAACATCCCACTGCATGTTTATGCAGAGCTAAGTCCATTGGTGTCACCTTCAGCATCAAATTGCTACAAGTCAGTGTAGGCATTTCCTACCACACAATGAGTCACATGCCTGGCGTGTGATAAGAAATGTCTATGTCTTGAGTTGTGGCAGCAGTCCATGCTAAAGCAGCATATGGTTTACATAGAAATGTTGGATTTATGCAAACTCTTCAATTAAATTATTGTAAACATTTGTCAGTAAAGAACACAATGAGGATAAAGGGAAAAATCTGTGAAGTGTAACCACAGATTGCATTAATTACTTATCAACTGTAGTAACATTCATAGGCGAACTCTGAAAAAATAAACCCTAGTTTGAGGTTCAGAGGGCTTTGTGGCAAACATCTCACCGTCTTACTTGCTACAAGAGCCCTGCTCATTGCCCCAAGTGCTGCTTTCAAAAGTTGGGGTTGGCTTTTGGCACAGATTTTGATACTGTAATACAATAAATGATTCTCAGAACAGGGAAATGGTGAAATGCTCTTTCACATGTTTCAGTTAGAGTCATGCTCTGTGGCACCTATTGCAGGAAATGTTCAAATTAAGAGCATCCCAAATAGCCACCTTAGAGAGCAGATAATATAGAACTGCCTGAATCCCCAGGCATTCTTCAAAACTAAAACTCAACCACCCTTGTTGCAAAATGAAAGCGAATACCTTTCCTTCAGTCTTGCTTCATTCCAAAGACTGGTTTGCACCACTGATTATTTAGTTTTAGATGATGTTTTTACTATTTATGTTGTATTTATTTATTGCGCCATTTATTTTAATTTCTTGTAAACTGCTCAGAATAGTGCTTCAGCACTAATGTGGCAATATATAAATCAAAGTAACAAACAAACTCAAGAAATTCACATTTACCATGCTAACAAATACTGACTGGTCTTCAGAACTTACAGCATTTCTAGATTCCCTCCATCCTATGATCCTTTGTATTGTGTGTTCATTCAGTCATATAATAATACATCTAGGCATATATATGAGGAAATCAGACAAGTGGACAATGTTAACCAAAAGGAGTTGGCAATGAAAGGGTTTGGATTGTCTAGGACAGTGTTTTTCAAACTAGGGTCCCCAGATGTTCTTGGATTGCAACTCCCAGAAATCCTGGCCAGCCCAGCAAGTGGTGAAAGCTCCTAGGAATGTATTTATTTATTAAATTTGTATCCCGCCCATTTAGACAGCATCTACTCTGGGCGGCTCACAATAAAATGGAACACAAACAATCAAATAAAATCAATTTAACAAAAGAATTGTGATCCAAGAACACCTGGGGGACCCCAGTTGGGGAACTACTGGTCTAGGACAGCTTGCACCCCCTTTCATAAACTGCCATCACATTTTTAAACTGAAAATGCACACATTTCTTCACTGGATTTCAGGCTTTACTGGTAGCATCAGCTGTTTGTACTTGTCTACCGCCAAGGCAAGTACTTCCAGTTCACAGGGGACTGTCTGTAGATAGTCATGAACATAAACAG